AACAAGAGAGCGACTTGTTGGAAGTAATACATTTTGATGTGTGTTGTCCAATGAGTGTCGAGGCACACAGTGGATATCGTTATGTTCTTACTTCACAGATGATTTGAGTAGATGCTGAGTATATTTACTTGATGAAACACAAGTCTGATTATTGAAAGGTTCAACTAATTTCAGAGTGAAGTTGAAGATCGTCGTGACAAGAGGATAAAATGTCTATGATATGATCATAGAGATGAATATCTGAGTTACGCGTTTGGTACAAAATTAAGACATTGTGGAAATTGTTTCACAATTAATGCCGCCTGGAACACCATAGTGTGATGGTGTGTCCTAACATCATAGTTGCACCCTATTGGATATGATGCATGCCATGATGTCTCTTATCGAATTACCACTATCGTTTATGGGTTAGGCATTAGAGACAACCACATTCACTTTAATAGGGCACCACGTAATTCCGTTGAGATGACACCGTGTGAACTATGGTTTAGAGAAACCTAAGTTGTCGTTTCTTGAAAGTTTGGGGCTGCGACGCTTATGTGGAAAAGTTTCATCGTAATAAGCTCGAACCCAAAACGGATAAATGCATCTTCATAGGACACCCAAAATAGTTGGGTATACCTCCTATCTCAGATCCAGAAGCAAAATAGATTGTTTCTAGAAACGGGTCCTTTCTCGAGAAAAAGTTTCTCTCAAAAGAATTGAGTGGGAGGATGGTGGAGACTTGATGAGGTTATTGAACCATCACTTCAACCAGTGTGTAGCAGGGCACAGGAAGTTGTTTGTGTGGCACCTACACCAATTGAAGTGGAAGTTGATGATAGTGATCATGAACCTTCGGATCAAGTCACTACCAAACCTCGTAGGACGACAAGGACGCGTACTGCTTCAGAATGGTACGGTAATCCTGTCTTGGAGGTCATGTTGCTAGACAACAATGAACCTACGAGCTATGGAGAAGCGATGGTGGGCCCGGATTCCGACAAATGGCTCGAGGCCATAAAATTCGAGAGAGGATCCATGTATGAAAACAAAGTGTGGACTTTGGAAGAACTACTTGATGGTCGTAAGGCTATTGGGTACATATGGATTTTAAAAGGAAGACGGGCAATGATAGTAAGTGTCACCATTAGAAAAGCTCGACTTGTCGTTAAGATGTTTTCCGACAAGTTCAAGGAGTTGACTACGATGAGACTTTCTCACTCGTAGTGATGCTAAGAGTCTGTTGGAATTATATTAGCAGTTACTGCATTATTTATGAAATCTTGCAGATAGGATGTCAAAAACATTGTTTCCTCGATGATTTTCTTGAGGAAAGGTTGTATGTGATACAACCAGAAGGTTTTGTCAATCCTAAAAGATGCTAACAGCTATGCAAAGCTTCAGCAATCCTTCTAAGGACTGGAGTAAGCATCTCGGAGTTGGAATATACGCTTTGATGAGATGATCAAAGATTTTGTGTTTATACAAAGTTTATGAGAAACTTGTATTTCCAAAGAAGTGAGTGGGAGCACTATAGAATTTCTGATGAGTATATGTTGTTGACATATTGTTGATCAGAAATGCTGTAGAATTTCTAGAAAGAATATAGGGTTATTTGAAAAGTGTTTTTCGATGGAAAACCTGGATTAAGCTACTTGAAAAATGGAGCATCAAGATCTATAAGGATAGATCAAAAAACGCTTAATAGTACTTTCAAATGAATACATACCGTGAAAATATTTTGAAGGAGTTGAAAATAGATCGGCAAAGAAGGAGTTCTTGGCTGTGTTATAAGGTATGAGTATTGAGTAAGACTCAAGACCTGACCACGACAGAAAAGAGAGAAAGGATGAAGGTCGCCCCCTATGCTTTAGACGTAGGCTCTGCAGTATGCTATGCTGTGTACTGCACCTAAAGTGTGCCTTGCCATGAGTCAGTCAAGGGGTACAAGAGTGATCCAAGAATGGATCATAGGACAGCGGTCAAAGTTATCCTTAGTAACTAGTGGACTAAGGAATTTTCTCGATTATGGAGGTGGTAAAAGAGTTCGTCGTAAAGGGTTACGCCGATGCAAACTTTGACACTAATCCAGATTATTCTGAGTAGTAAACCAGATTCGTATAGTAGAAAAGTTATTTGGAATAGCTCCAAATAGAGCGTGGTAGCTGCAGGATAACATGGATATTTGTAAAACACACACGAATCTGAAAGGTTCAGACCCGCTGACTAATAACCTCTCTCACAAGCGAGATATGATCAAACCCCATGGGTGTTGAATTCATTACAATCACATAGTGATGTGAACTAGATTATTGACTCTAGTGCAAGTGGGAGACTGTTGGAAATATGCCCTAGAGGCAATAATAAAATGGTTATTATTGTATTTCCTTGTTCATGATAATTGTCTATTGTTCATGCTATAATTGTATTGACCGGAAACCGCAATAAATGTGTAAATACATAGACCACAACATGTCCCTAGTGAGCCTCTAGTTGACTAGCTCGTTGATCAACAGATGGTCATGGTTTCCTGACCATGGACATTGGATGTCATTGATAACGGGATCACATCATTAGGAGAATGATGTGATGGACAAGACCCAATCCTAAGCATAGCACAAGATCGTGTAGTTCATTTGCTAAAGCTTTTCTAGTGTCAAGTATCATTTCCTTAGACCATGAGATTGTGTAACTGCCGGATACCGTAGGAGTGCTTTGGGTGTACCAAACGTCACAACGTAACTGGGTGACTATAAAGGTGCACTACAGGTATCTCCTAAAGTGTTTATTGGGTTGGCGTGAATCGAGACTGGGATTTGTCACTCCGTATGACGGAGAGGTATCTCTGGGCCCACTCGGTGATGCATCATCATAATGAGCTCAATGTGACTAAGTAGTTAGTCACGGGATCATGCATTACGGAACGAGTAAAGTGACTTGCCGGTAACGAGATTGAACGAGGTATTGGGATACCGATGATCGAATCTCGGGCAAGTAACATACCGATTGACAAAGGGAATTGCATACGGGATTGCTTAAATCCTTGACATCGTGGTTCATCCGATAAGATCATCGTGGAACATGTGGGAGCCAACATGGGTATCCAGATCCCGCTGTTAGTTTTTGGCCGGAGAGGTGTCTCGGTCATGTCTGCATGATTCCCGAACCCGTAGGGTCTACACACTTAAGGTTCGATGACGCTAGGGTTATATGGGAAGTTTGTATGTGGTTACTGAATGTTGTTCGGAGTCCTGGATGAGATCCCGGACGTCACGAGGAGTTCCGGAATGGTCCGGAGGTAAAGATTTATATATGGGAAGTCCAGTTTCAGTCACCGAAATAGTTTCGGGGGTTATCGGTATTGTACCGGGACCACCGAAAGGTGTCCGAAGGTCCACCGGGTGGGACCACCTACCCCAGGGGACTTGATGGGCTGAATATGGGAGGGAACCAGCCCCTAGTGGGCTGGTGCGCCCCTCCCAAGGGCCCAAGGCGCCTAGGGTTGAAAACCCTAGGGGAGGGGGCGCCTCCACCTTGCTTGGGGGGCAAGCCTCCCCTCCTGCCCCCCCCCCCCTCTAGATGGGATCTAGAGGGGCCGGGCCCCTCTCCCCTTCCCCTATATATAGTGGGGTTTTTGGGGCTGCCAAGAACATGAGTTCCCTCTCTCCTGGCGCAGCCCTACCCCTCTCCCTTCTCGTCTCTCGCAGTGCTTGGCGAAGCCCTGCTGGAGTGCCACACTCCTCAATCAGCACCACGCCGTTGTGCTGCTGCTGGACGGAGTCTTCCCCAACCTCTCCCTCTCTCCTTACTGGGTCAAGGCACGGGTGACGTCACTGGGCTGCACGTGTGTTGAACGCGGAGGCACCGTTGTTCGGTGCTTAGATCGGATTCGGCCGTGATCTGAGTTGCTTCGTGAACGACTCCACCTACCGCGTTCTTGCAACGCTTCCGCATCGCGATCTTCAAGGGTATGAAGATACACTCCCCTCTCTCTTGTTGCTAGAATCTCCATAGATTGATCTTGGTGATGCGTAGAAAATTTTGAATTTCTGCTACGTTCCCCAACACATAGTACTCTTAGTTTTATTTACCGATGGATCATCCCCATGATTGTATCAACTCATCTGGATTAGAAGTGCTGATAATACACTTAATTTTCTTTCGCAACTGATCATCCCCAAGATTGGCTGCTGGCTCTGTTCTTCCTTACCTACTTCCTTCTCCTTCCCCACCCTCTCTTTCTCTCGCAAATTCTATATGCCAAACGCTGTTGCTACTGGTTAATCGAGATAGTAGTTAGAGATAAGCATGTGGCTTCCTAACAGAACGGTAAATATTTATTAGGATAATTGGTTTTATGCTCCTAGTTGGGTCACACTCAGCTCCTAGTTGGGTCACACTCGTTTTTGCCCAAACCACTTTGCTCGTCTTATGCTTTTGCCCTTTTCCCGTTTGACCATCATTTTGAAAACTTCATAACAAATTCATACTAACTCAGAAAAAGGCAAATAATATATCATGAATGCAAATGATATGCACATATAGGTGATGTTTTTCTGAACATTTTCATATCTTATTTGAATTTTTCTGAGTTAGTATGGTTTTTTTTATGAAATTTTCAAAATGATGGTCAAATGGTCAATGGGCAAAAGCATAACACGAGCATAGTAGTTTGGGCAGGAACGTGTATTTTCAGTAACTAGGGATAAACGAGCTGAGTGTGACCTAAGTAGGGACATAAAACCAATTATCCCATATTTATTTGGCAGAAAAGAGAGAAACTAATGGTAATATTCAGTTCGTGTAGAATTGAATGCAAAACAAGGCTTCGAACTCATCCAATAACCACTTTGACAAACACACCAAAACCATGAAACGAAAACACCCTCTTGAAAATACAACAAACTTTCATTTCAACCCGAAGAAATAATAATAAAAAAAGGGTTGCACAGTGCTCAAGAGAAAAAAAAGACTATCCTACATACGTTCTCCCGTTGACAAATTTAATCTCATCGGGATTATACAGTCGCGAAGAAACCAGCGAACACCAGAATCAAAATGAACACCGGAGCCGAGGCGTACGTGGTGATTATCGCTGCCGACCCGCTGGACGGCGCTGGCGCTGGCGACGGTGCGGTCCCCGTCTCCAGGTCACCAGCAGCCTCCTCGGTCGACGGGGCACCGGCCAACGGGGCCGGCGCTGCCTCGGGCGCGGTCTCTGTCTCTAGGTTACCAGTGTTGGAATTGATCTACGGTTATAACAAACTGAGACAAAGAAGGGGAGGATTTGCATCCCCAGTACATGCCCTGATCGGGGGCATTGACCCAACTTTTGGTTTTGGTCCCTGTCCCCTTCGCACCACTTACAAAATGAGGAGGTCGTACCCCTTGGGGGTGACACACGTACGGGTTAGCACCCGGTTACTCCTAACAGCCGATCCTGAAAAGGTGCTTAAGGGGATCAGAAGACCACCACCACCGCCGGCCACCTCCAGGTCCGTGCCGGCGGCATCCTTCGTGTCTGCTACATCGCCTGCTGATGCCCTTCCTCCCGACGATCTTCTCACTGCTGGAGATGCTAAGGTGGAGCCAGGGGCTATCCTGTTAATGGATCAAGATAATCACGGTTAGTAACCACTATTCTGCTTGATGGGTGTTCTAATCAAGAGATCCAGATCCTAGTTATCTTAACTCTAAAGTATTATTGTTAACATTGGTATCTTGAGCCAGTTTGATCTCTGTTTAAGAACTCCAATTAGACTCGGTTTATGTTATTTACTAATCATGGTCTAATTCCTTATGAATTTGAGTAATGTTCATGCATAAATCGCTTCCGCTTACATAATAATGATGATGACATCTGGGTTAAGTGCTAATTGCCCTGACTAATGTTTGCTAATTATGAAATAGCCGAAATTAAATTTTCGCCTAATATATTAGCACTGATTGTGGCCTCGGTTCAGAAAAGGATTCAAATTTTTTTTTTTAAGAAAAGATCCCGAGAAAAAAAAAGCAGTTTTTCCCCAAATCCCGAGCACTAGAAGCAAAGAATAAATCCTCAACGTGTTTGGGCTGGGGGTGCTTATCCGCTCCAGATTGGAGATGTTGCCGTGCCGCACACACATCATGGACGCCTATGAGCATGGCCACCATGCAATGCGCGTCAACGTCAGTACCTCATGCTGCAGCAGCATCGTTGAAGGCGTGCCATCCGCAGCGGCGGACGAGCCGCAGGTTTACGACGCCTAATGGATGACGCCGAGTGCCTCGCGTCACCGCCGGCGGGCACTTATGGCCGACCTGGCACCACTGCTCTCTCCTCCGGCATCCCGCAATAAATGTCGTGTAGCTGCACGGGTGGCCACGCTCGACGGAGCAGCGCGCGGGATCCCTCCGTTGCACGCTGCTCCGGCGAGCGGAGCCGCCGAACCGCCATGGACACCGGGCTCTCGCGCCTTGCTTTGTGCCGCCGCCAGTGGTCGGTCGCGAGCGGAGAAAGGGGGGGAGGAGAGAAGAATGCGCTAGGGTTTGCCAGCGCGAGTTAGTTTTGTTCCGAAGGGAGCAACTTACAACCGTTAGATGGGATCGACGGCTGACGTTGATGCTCCGCTGCAGTCGGGCTGCGGGTGGCTTAGCGGGCCTAATCTGGCTGTAGGCTACGACCCAGGTTGTGTTGGCCCAGTATAAAGTTTTCTTATGTTAATGAATTTAGCTGCTGGATCGTTCCTTTCATGGGTTGCCGTTGGTTTTAGGCCGAAAATAAGTATCGAGTCGTTTTGTTTATTTTCAGTGCATTTGATGTGTTTCAAGTGGACTAAAAAAAGGGTTGTTTCAAGTTTTCTTTTGATGGTTTATGCACTGTTTTATTAAGAAACAATATGCCCAAAAATGTCTAACAGGCAGTATTAATAATGATATTGTTTTTTCTTTAAAGGGCTGCCGTGGGTTCCTATCAGCCAAATTATGTCTTTTAGGCAATTGGTATTTTTGGTGCTTTTGAATCATGTTGTTAATATTAGTAATAATTTTTTATGCACTGTTAATACGTCTTGATTGCCTAAATTATGCTAAAGATAATGTTTTGAATTTTCTGAATAAAATGGATCAATGAGAAATTTTATTTCGAAAATATTAATGTGGTATAATGTAAATGCCATATATGGCATTTTTAGTGGTGGTATTTTATTTTTATCATTTTAAAGTTTAAATATTAATGTTATGAAATGACATTTGTCATGATCACAATCTATAATGTCTCATTTCGTAATGTTTCAAATATTTTATATGCAAACTTATTTGAGTGTGAATTTAATGTTGATGCCATACTTATGACTTTTTCTTAAAGATGTGGTAATTTCTAATGGGCTCGGGCCACCTCAAGGAAAATGATGATGGACGCGTGGTTCGGTTTTCCGCACCGCACTATGTGTCATAATAATGTTTGGGCATTATGTCTATTGGGCAAAATAAAGTTTTTTGCTTGGTGCATTTCATGTCATTTTATTATGATATACACCATTGAAATATGCATAAAGACTCAAATAATGTTTATTGGGTTATGATCAATCCCCTAAACAAAAAATTTGTTTTCGAAAGTACATGTTGTCATATGTTTGACAACTCTTATTTGCCAAATGTTGTTATTTTGTGAATCCTTGCGAAAAATTTATGTCCAATTTTTTTTGGGGAAAATGTTATGATATCCTGGCGATAATATTAATGGTATTTTCACTCTGAATGTCCTCTTTAGTGTTTACTCGATGAGAGTAACATTTATGTTTATATGTTAATTCCAATGTCATTTTCATTGTATGTCATTGAGAATTCTAATGATAATTTTGACACTTATGTTCAATATTCATATTATCATTGTGAGATTTAGTGTCAAAAGGCATCAGTGTGCCTCATGGCACACATGATTATATTATGACATTTCTTTATGTTAATGATGGCAATTAATTTAGTCGTAGTTCTTGCTGGTCATTACAAGATTTTATATCTCTCTGGTCAAAATGGAACCAACGAGAAGTTTTGATTAGAGATTTAATGAGCAAATGTTCTAATTGCATATGATGATATTCTGGCCAACATTGCTTGTGTTTCTCATGTGTCATTTACGAGTAAGTAAGGTTCTTTCTCATTATCTACCCAACGGTGATATAGATTAGAATAAAAATTAAGCATGTTCTTTATTCATCTTATTGCGTGGTTAGTTTATGCTTGATTCTCTGTTATAATGATCATACAGTTGTCTCTTTTTTTCCAACAATAATAATGATGTCAAACAAATGTTTGACATAGACGAACCTTATGCAAAGAACTTTCCCACATGGAGAGTGGAGATCATTGTCTCATGTAAGGAATCCCCAATGTTTTTCTGCCACTAAGGTTGAAGGATGTTAATCATGATGATAAGGCAGACATTGGGAGAGATCTCAAGACGCATGTGCCATCATGCACATTACTAATGATGTCAAACAAATGTTTGACATAGACGAACCTTATGCAAAGAACTTTCCCACATGGAGAGTGGAGATCATTA